TGTTGACAAATTCCCACTTAAACTCCGTCTCTCAACACCCTCCAAACCCAGACTGGAACCAATCGCACATATCGCCATATAGCCAATCTGCAAAAAGACAATTTTGGATCATTCTGAGAACAAAAACAACTATAGACGTTTAGTTCTCATGTCATTTTAAGGAACATATAAAAAAAAATCAATATTTAAATCTAAGTCATTGAATTATACAAAGAAATGAATCATTCAACACATATAGAATAAGTTTAAGTTCAATTATTGAGAAAATTATTCACTACTTAATTAAAAAAACTTTTAAAATTTAAATCCAACCCATTAAGTTATACAATGAAATAGAATCTTTAAGAAATGGATTAAAAGGTGTAAAATAGTAATGTAGAATTATGCGTTAACTGTAGAATAAACAATATTTATATTAGCTTCTGGTATCATCATTCAGTGGGAACAATAAACTGTGAATCTTTTATTGATTTTATTGATAATAGAACTGTTTATACATATAGTTCTATTTTTTTCCTTGAGGAATATCAAGTTCCTTTTCTTTGGCAATAATTAGGGATTCACGTTTCCGTAAATCGAATATTACATGTATGGTTGAGCCTGTTATTTCTAACAAAGCATTCATTATATCTCTGTTCATCACTCTGGCAATGTTGAGTTTGTCCAGCGTGACTTTAAGGTTTTGTAGAATACCTTCGAGTTCAGGCGAACCATCTGACATTGTTGTTTGACCTGCTAAAAATAAAAAAATAGACATGTAAAAGTAGATATGTAGAAGAAATATAAGAGTAATCAGTTGATGTTATTTACCGCACGCTTTTGTTGGTTTGGATTTTGGATTGACAATAGTTGGTCTTTTGTCTTCCATTTGTTAATGATATCTGTGTGAAATGAAAGAAATATTTGAAGGTGTATGGTTTGTTGAATTCTCTACTCTTATATAGCTTTAGATGTCATTAAGTAATATTATATGATAATTAATTATTACAACAACTATTCGTGTTATGTTCAATGTAATTGGATTATTACTAATTAATATGACTTTTGATATTTTTTAGTAAGTGTTTGCATGTTATTGGTTATGGTTATTTTGATTTAAATAAATGTTTTATTGTTATTGGATGAGTTTAAAATTTTCAGATTTATATTAAATGTTAAATGATAATACGTTTTATAAAAAACATTTTTCATTATTATGTTTGATATTTTTGTTTAATTGAATGTGAATGGGTAAAGATATATTAATATTAATAATAATTAATTGAATGTGAAGGGGTACAAAAATATTAATATTAATATTAATTAATAATAATAATTAATATGCATGAATGAACGTTGAATATTAATTGATTAATAAAGTGTATTATTGAATTTCATGAATGTGAAAAGATATGTTGTATCTTTATCAAATTAAAAAAGGAACGTGAAAGATTTCAAATTAAAAAAGAAATGTGAAAGATTTGTATTGAATGCATGTAAATACTTTCTATTATAGCAATCTCTCAATATTCATAGAAATCAATAACACACAAGCGAATCATTAATAATTTATCAAATTAAAAGAAGAATGTGAAAAATCTCAAATTAAAAGAAGAATGTGAAAGATCTCAAATTAAAAGAGGAATGTGAAAGATTTGTATTGAATACATTAATTAAATGCATGTGAATGATCCCTATTATAGCAAGCCCAATAAACAACAAACACGTGGACCAATTAACGACATCCTACATGGCAATCATATATCAATCCTACGTGGCGTCAAAAAAAGCAGTATGCTTTAGCATTATATAAATATATAGATTGTCTCACATCTCTCATTTACAATGAAGTAATTTATCCTATGATTGCTATTACTCATTAGAAGGGAAAAATGTGTTTATATACTATGTGTAAAAGACTAAAACCTAGTTTTACAAGGATTCTTATTCCTAAGCTTAAACCCAATAAAAAATTAATAACTTAAAAAAATCATTCAGCGGTTATACATGGAAAAAGCCCCCCGCCGATTGACCGAATAGCGACATCCCTTAATGCGTCTACATGGCCCATTAATATTAAAGTAGTCGACAACTCCAACAAATACAGTATGTCTAGCGATACCAGCACTAGAGGTGGGCATTTGGGACTGTGTCCAAAAACCTAGTCAAAAACCTGGTCCTAGGACTAATCCTTGAGAGGACCGGTCTTAGGAGGCTTGGTCCCAAAATTGGACCAAGCCTAAGGAGGAGGGCCCGGTCCCTCCATTGGGCCCTCGTCCAAGGCTTGGGCCTAGGCCCACACCTTTTTAATCATTTTCTTTTTAGTCTCTTGTAAAATTACATAAAACCTCCTATAAATTTTAAAATAAACATAAATTATAAGGATTAAAATGAAATTTTATAATTTTTTTTTTTTTAAATTACTTGTTTTTTAATAACTGTTGGCTGGCAACAATTATGCATTGGACAACATCAAGTAAAAACAAAAAAATTTACTTTTGTTTAATAGAAGAGAATATCGGAGAGAAAAAAATTCATATTTAATTACATGCAATTATGCATTGGGCAAGACGCAAGACCGCTGGCGTAACCATCAATAACGCTTAATTTTACACTATTTACATCAATTTTTATCATAATCCATACCACAGGTCGAATCTAGTTGACTGGTCAACACGACCATCTCAAGAACATTTATGACCTTAGGTAAAAATTACTTTGGGGCCTTCTAATAATATAAATATATATTAAAAAAAATATTTCAAATTTAATTTCTTGTCTTTTGAAATGCAAAATCACTAGGAGAAGTGGACAGCGATCGACAGGCTAACTGGGTCAGATTGGTGGGGGGTTTTAGAGAGCAGATGTTGGAGAAACGATGGGTGATGAAATAAGTAATTTCCAATGTCTGGATTGGCCAAAAAAGGCTTGAGAAGTCGCAACCCAAAAGATTTCGGTGGCCGACGATTTGACGGAGTAAACATATGAGGTATGATAGGGATTTTGGTGAAAGGGTTGAGGGGAGGAATATGGTGGAGTCATGGAAGGCCAACAACGTCGGGTACATGCTCAAAAGGTCGAAAATGGCTGTCGTGCATGATGGAGTTTGTTTATGAGATTCGTAAAAAATCGGTCAAATCGAGGGCTATCAAGGTTGGAAAAACACTTGAGAAAATGATAAAGTGATGATTCCAGTCAATTTTGGTGAGAAAATTGATGGGAATCAACTCCAAACGGCTGCTGGCGAAAGAGGGGTGGGGATAATTTATGTGAATGTCAAAATTTGGGATGGAATTGGGGTTGAGTAATTTGAGACATATAAATGACTATTTTAGTCTTTTATTGTTAAAAGAAATTTAATTTGTTAATTTAGGACGGTAAATTAGAATATATGAAACTAGAGGTATAAACTTACTATTTTATCAAACTTTGGGTGAGAATATATGTAAAAAATTTATAATAAATTTGGGTCTTTTTGGCTTCTTTTTTTTCTCCTTGGCCTGGATAAAAAATCATACACCATTTTTATTTTTGTAATATATTAAAAAATTATAAAAAATTTGGGCCCCTATTTTTGGGGGCCCTAGGCAGGTGCCTCACCTGCCTATCCCTTGAGCCGGGCCTACTGTAAATGAGCCAAATCTAAATCAAGAAAGTTTACTTTTAATTCACTCCAATATCTCAATATTCAATTATAAAACTTAAATGGCCATTATACATATAAGCAGGGCGGATCCATAAATTTCTGTTAGGGTGGGTCATAACAACAACTAATTACATATTAATATTTTTGTCCAAGTAGGTTAAAATAAAAAAATTGTACATACTAATATTTTTTGAAAAAATTTGAGGGTGAGCCATGCTAATCTTACATGACAGAAGTAGCAGCTCCAGCTCGTATATACATGGACCAAATGAGCTAAATCGCTATCTACAAGTAGACATGTTCTTTATGATGATGAAGGAGAAACGTGACATGGATATTCTTTAATAGTGGAACCAACATGAAAGTCGATTCTCCATTGTAGCTCAAATGACACGTGACATTTTATCTGTGCCAGTTTCTACAATTGCATCCGAGTCAACATTTTCATCGAGTGATCGGATTGTTGAAGACAGAAGATATTTTTTAACCGATGAGATGATTGAAGTAATAACGTGTTTACGGGATTGGACTCATGCAGAAATAAGACTACAACAGCACCCTAAAGATCCCGAACTACTCGAACTCTTTAAGAATACAGATTTGAATGATATAAATATTGTTGACGATAAAGATGAATAATTTAATAAAAAAATTATTTAATTGTTTATTTGTAAAGCGTAAATATATGAAATATGAATATTACATTTATATTAAAATTAACTACTAATTTATTTATTATTTTATTATTTTTTAAAAGTAATTAAACTTTTAGAAACTTATTAATCTACTCCTGAAAAATACTAGAAACCTCCTACAAAATTTTATTTCACCCCTAAAATATATATAAAAAAAAAAGATCAAAGGAAAAAATAAATTTTCTATACCCATAAGACCAATCCTAGGCCCATGAGCGACTGGTCTCAAATGGGACCAGTCCAAAAGGACTAGTCCCAAAGGGGTCCAGGACCCGGAGTGCTTAGTGGTCAAGGACCATCACCCGTTGGTGAAGATGCAGTGACGGAACCAGAAAACTTGTTGTGGAGGATCAATATGAATAATATTATACAATGGAGATAATTTTGTTTGGCTGGTCCCAAGGTGGCTCCAACAACCGAATCTTATCCTGAATGAGTTTTGATATGAAGGAATAAATATTTAATTAGTAGTTCTCGCAACAAGTCTGTAACAATGCCACTGGCCCACTACCATTACCCTCCACTGATCAGAGTTGGTGAAGATGGTTCTCTTTGATAATACAAAGACAATCCTTTCTGTCAGTAATGTTATAAAGAAATAACGACAAATTTGAAGTAAAACACTTTGTAAAAACATTATGATTGATACTATATACTTTGACATTTAAACATATAAGAGTATGATTTAAAGTTCTCATCTGAATATATATTTACAGAAGTTTGAAGGACCCAGAGAGCCAATTTTTAATTTTCTAATGCATAGCTAAACTGTTCTTGGACCGAAGAAAAAGGCAGCATCCCATCAAGATTAACCTTGGAAGCTGCAATTTTAAGGGCATCAAAAGCTTAACTAGAATAGCAAATAGTTTAAAGAATTAAAGTATCAAATATATATGTTTATGCATCATTGATCCTACACTGATTCTACAATATAAAGAAATTAAAAGTTGGCGAAGTTTCTGATAAATTTTATGAAACTTTAGAATAAACTATTGAAGAGGTGTATGGTGAATTGTAAAACTAAACAGAGCCTGTTTCATGGAAAACTTTTAGTCATCAAAAAGTTGAAATAGCTATGACATCCTCCAAGACATTAACATCCTTCAAACAGTTGGAATTTTTAAGTGTATGTTTAGTTGTTCTTATCTACGGACTAGAAGAGCTATATTAATATTAAAAGCTTTTATTTAAACATTTTATATTGTTTGGTTGCAAGACAAAATGAATTTACGGAAAAGGCAAACTTACTGTAGATAGCGTCGCAATTTTTTCTGTGTGCTGTCACTTGTCTGAGGCTTTCGCTTATTCTCACTGCTGCAATTAACAGTTGAATAGACAGACGTCAATTTGAAGGTTGAAGGCTGTGTACAGGATATGAGCATAATCTTGTTTTTTCTAAAACTTGTAAGCGTGTTAAAGATACTTACAGAAACATCATTTGCCTTCCCGGAAGAAACTACTGAAACATTTAGATGTTAGCAAATTATTAACCTCCAGCAGAATTCTAAATTCGTCTCATTCACTAACTAATATAAGCTCAACTTTATTACCTGGTGTTGATGGAGCTGGTAAATTGCTCTGGTTAGTGCTCGGATTCTTTACTTCAGGTACAGCATCTTGAACTCTGGACTTGGAATTGATTATTTGCTGGAGGATTCCTGAATCGAATTCTAAAAAATAATGCAGGTTAGTTAGAGAGGAGACAAACTTGCCATTAGAAAGAATATTCATAAACTTTAAATGAAGCATGCAAATGTACCAAGGAGTGATTGAATGGCAACGCGTGCAGCCAGCTATTCTGCTATCTTCTTGCTTCTGCCTTCTTCGCCTTTGTAAACTTTACCATCAAAAACCAGAGTAGACATGAAAACTGGACGCATCTGTTCTCCACCGGTCATTGAATATTCAGGTCTTTTCAGATTCATTTTGACAGCATATTCAAACAGGATCAATTTGCAATATGTTGGATCCTAAAAAACATGAAGTGAACATAATTTATATGAATAAACAAGACTACCAGATCTCAGATGAGTTGATCTCTGAATCTATTTCTCTTAACATCTTAATAGAGTGTACAAGCATAAATAGGTCTACTAAACCTTGGAGTAAAACTATCTGAAAGATAAACATGAAGTCCACCATCAATGCCCTTTTACATTAAGGAAAACTAAAGTGAGGCAATATAAGCATATACAGAGCCAGAATTTTCAAGTTTAAACGACATCATGTTTTCAAAATTCAGACTCCCATTCAATGACACCAAATTAATATTAAAAGACAAAATTTTACATTAAGCAAGCTGAAAGTGCAGCAGAGCACCTGAATACTAGGGTTTCCTCCATCATTTCTGGTTTCAGTTATGTTCTCAAAAGCAACTTTTGCAGCATCCTGCTCAGCTTCTTTTCGCTTAGGAAATGTTCCCCCAGATACATAATTTTTTCCATTTACCAGAACACATAACTTAAACTTTGGTGCATGTGTAAATCCTTCATTTCTAATTCGATATTCCGGCAGTGATATGCCTAATTTTTGATAAAATTATTCTTTTTATTGTAGGCTAAAAAGTATTATTCAGAGGTGTTGTAGCAAATGAAGACTATGTTTTTTTGTTCATATCAAAGAATGCTTGATAAAAATGCAGTACAAGTATCATCTGCAGCAAAAGATGTGGAGAAAGAAAAAAGAGGCGGAGGTAGACCATCAAAAAGAGTGAGAACGAAAAAATGGATTTTAACAAAATGATGATATAAAAATGTAGTACTTGTTTAACTTTTTTATCAATGGGCATGCTGATGTTAATTGATATATTAATTTAGTATATTAAAATGAATGGTTTGGTAGTGGGTCTACAGTTATCCAAATTCTACGTATAATATATCATATTAAAACCTTGTCTGTCTAGTTTCCAAATGTTTAAACCGTTCATTAATTGGATTTTTATTGAACAAGTTATGGCTAATTTACTACTGACTGTTTAGTGGAAACCGAGAAACAAGGGAAACCAAAATATGTGTGATGATAAAATAAATTGTTCGGAAATGGGTCTATAGTTATCTAAATTTAACATATAATATATCAAATTAAAGCTCTGTCTGTCTAGTTTCCAACTATTTAAACCGTTCATCAATTAAATTTTTATTGAGAAAGTTATGGCCAATTTACTATTAACTGTTCAGGGGGAAACCGAGAAATGGGGGAAACCAAAATGTGTATGATGATAAAATGAATGGTTCGGAAATGGGTCTACATTTATCCAAATTTAGGTTATTATATACCAAATTAAAGCCCTTTTTGTCTAGTTTCTAAAGATTCAAACCACTCTTCAATTGGAGTTTTATTGAGCAAGTTATGACCAATTTACTACTTACTGTTCAGTGGAAACCGAGAAACGGGAGAAACCGAAATGTGTGTGATGATAAAAGTTCAGAAGTGGGTCTACAGTTATCCAAATTTAGCATATAATATATCAAATTAAAGCTCTGTCTGTCTAATTTCCAAATATTCAAACCGTTCATCAATTAGATGTCTATTGAGCAAGTTATGATCAATTTACTACTGACTGTTACAATTCGATAGTACAATGAATAATGTTTCATCATCTGGTCTCTTGTAATTCTATAGTACAATCTTCCTTTGATATGTTTATTGATCGTATTTTGTTCGGCAACTTGCTTCCAACAATTATGATGGACGACATGAAATAAACTTTTCATATAGTATTAACTAAAAAGGACATTACAATATTACAATTGTTAATGGATAATATTCAGCAAATGGTCTATTGTAATTGTACTGTACAATCTAAATAGCTTTGCATCTCGACTCTTACAATTAAATAGAATAGTTCGGGAAGTGGCTACAATTATAGAATTTTCAGCAATCCTACATGGCAATCATATTGAGATTTTTAGCAATCCTACCTGGCGAGCAATAGCAAGGGTGTGCTTCAGAGCCCGCGCGTTGCACGGGTATGTTTGTAGAATTTTTTTTTTTTTTTTACATTATTATTAATTGTTTGTGTGGCATTAAATTATTTGTATTGAAGTTAATTTTATATTGAATTGATAATTAAAGAAATAAATAATAAAAATATTATATACCAAATACTGAATATTAAATTTGTACAAATTTTAAATATATATTTAATGTTGGTGTAAAGATTTATTTTAATTACAAGTTGAAAATTCAATAACATTTTACTAATCAACTAAAATGTTAAATTTTTATATGTAGTTTAGCATTTACAGGCAATTTCAGTATCTAATACATTAGATAATCTATATACATAGTATTCTATATTTCAATTTGGAATACTTTGCTAAAACTAATGCATTATTTGTATATTAAATAATGACATTATTTTATCTTAAATAAATTAAAAAAAATCTGAAAATGATCTAACAACCTTGCATAATATACTAAATAAATTATATTATGCAGACATGATTTAATGCCAAAATGTCACCATAAATGCATTTTTATACCATGAATATCTTCGAAATTCGAATTCTTTGTAACAAAAAGAAAATAGAGCGAAGAAAAGTATTCACTGAATGCCGTCCTAATTCATCCACCAATATATATAATGTCAATAAAATACTGTTCGGAAACTTGATTGCAACTGCAAAAATAATAATATGAAAGATTGAGGAATAACACATGGTGAAACAAGAAAAACATAAAAAAAATATGCTGTTGGTTATGGAACATTCAAACATTTAACAACTTAAAATGAATTAATTTGGTGTATTGTACCTTCTCCAAGTGCTTTATTGATGAAGTCAAAACCCAAAGGAATGAGTTCTCTACACTTTAACACCACCTAGTGAGAGAGAGCTTGGCCGATTTAAGAGAGAGTAAAATTTGGGAGGTAAAGGGTTAGTATTAATGAGAATGTTATATAATTAACTTTTAATTTGAAGTTATGGTTCCTTTAACTTTTAATTACCTCCACCAACCAGCAACCAATCACATCCTAGCCATTAATTACGTTTAGACCGGTCGTCACGTCACAAATTAACCAATACCGTAGTTAGCGGTAAGCAGGGTCGAATCCACAGAAGCAAGACTAACGACCTAATGTATATTTGAGTTAACAAAGAGAAATGGCAAAATGATTGATTAAAACAAGGAAACTAATTACTTCAGGAATTAAAAGCATTAAATAATTGCTAACTAAAACACAATATTAAAAGCATTGTCGCTACGGGTTCAGTTTGCTCAAGACCAACTCTCACAATTCCTCTCCTCGCTCTTCAATTCCTTCTACAAGGCTAGGCAAATCAATAGAAATTCTCCCGGCAATCTAGGCATATTCTATCCTGTCTGCCCGTCGTCTTAGTTACAGATCGATTGGTTAAAGACTTCATTGACTAACCGAAAAATGCTAAACCCTTAACACCACTAGTTGGTACAACATTAACAAGTACAACCTATCAACCTGTATCATCCAATCAACTAATTACACAATAAATGCATTCCTAGTAGAAATGATATAACGCTACTACAACTTGATTGCAATCAGTACCGAAGCAATTTAAAGTCAAATCAACATTCATAATGTCAAACCGACATTCAATTATGCGAAAAGTTATAATACATAAACGTTCTCAATGGACATTTCAATTCAACACATCGAGCATCAGAATAATATTAAAGCATCGCAAACAAACTGAACGAAAACAAATATATCTGAATACAAACTTAACCAAATATCCAACATTCGGGCTCATCCACTAGTCGAGAGCTAATGAGAGTCATGGAGTCAATCTCGATCTCGCCTACACCGTAACAGACAACCAGAACTCAGCCGCTCATGATGGTGATGACGGAGGCTGAACGGTGGAAACGAAGCTGATCATGGCGAAGAGGAGGTAACCGACAGCGATATATGCGAAGAAGGGCCAAAAACGACCAACGGACAGCCCGAATACGAACACGGCCGCACTCGCCAGAAAACGTTAATTTTCCGGCGGGTCTTCCAAAAACGGTAGCGGAAATGGGATCCAGGTACCGATGGAAAGCTCTGGTGATGGGAGTTCAGATTAGGTCCCGGGGAGGTGAGAAGTCACCGGAAATAAGCAGATCTGGTTGGAAGATGAAGAGGCGCGGCGGCAAAACGCGGATTCCGGCTGTTTCCGCGGTGGCTGAAGCAAGGAAGTGTAGATCTGGCCGTGGGGAATGAATCAAGTCTTGGGGACCGAATCGTCGTCGGAAACAGTGAAATTCTGCCTGGAAGACGAAAAGTCGTGGTGGTTGGAGACAAAAAACATCGCGACAGCCCTTGTTCGCGGTGGTGGCTTGTGGTGGAGTTCGCCGGCGGAAGGTGAAGGGTCGCCGCCTGGAAGATGAAACGTCGCCGGCCGGTGACCAAATTCTGGTGGAGGCTAGGGTTTTCATTTGGGTTTCGCGCGCGTCCCCTTTTCACGATGGTCACCTGGAAATTTATACCATTGCGGCAAATATCCATTTGGTCCCTGTATATTAAAAAATGACAAAATCAACCCCTGAAACATGACATTTTACCCCCTGAAACGCTAAATGAGACAAAATCACTCCTAATCCATAAACCACAACCTAATATCAACTCACACCATTTCTAAATTCATCCCAAATATGCTAAATTAATAGAAAAACTCAAAATATGATTTTTATACATAATCATAATTTCCTTAATTGTCTCAATATAACTTCAATTCAATTACATATGGATCTTTTTATCAACGAAATAGAGTCACTTTCATGACTCTAACAAACTCCCCAACTACTCTTTGCTCGTCCTCGAGTAAAGTTAAAGGAACCTTTTCAACATTCTCACAAAACCATACACAACCATATTCATCACAACCAAGACATTCATCAAAGGTAAAGTGAAGAATTTGAACATAACAAGCAAATAACACATCCTATAAAGAACTAAAGTTTCTATCAAGATTGCCTATCTCCATTCAAGCTTCTCAAACACACATTTCATATTCATATCACAATGTTAATGTCTGCAAAACTCCTCAACTT